CGAATCCTTCTTGGAGAGGGGGGAAGAGGAGAGAGGGCGGGTACTTCACCCTGGGGAATCCCTCGCCCGACCCCATGGGGCTTCCGACATGTAAACCACGTCAATTAAATCTTTTAAAGGAAATGCCCCCCGCTGCAATTTACGTCTCTTTCTTCTCTCGTCCCTTCGACGTGACTTCGCCCTCGTGCACTCGTACATTCCTGCAGCGACCGTTAGTTCTTTTGTTCTTAATCGAAGAGATAATGATGACTTTCGCAACGAAATCACAAGCCTTCCCTGCGACGAATTCCAATTTCTCTATTCTGGACCTTTCGCCGTCTACACGATGGAGAAAACCGTATTGAAAGGCCATGTGGACGTCTTCCCAGCGAACAGAGCAAATCATCCTCGGAGTGGATGATCGAGAGAAAGGTTTCAGTAGTTTACGATGGTCCTAGCCTAACTTCCAGGTCTCATAGCTAAAAGTTTTACAAGAAAAGCTACCTTTTCTAAGCGACCGACAAATTAAAAATACCTGTATGAAACAACGGGGAGGGGACGCCAAAAACACTCCCCCCCCCCTTCCCCTCTTCCCCAACAGGAAATTTGAACGAGATGGAACATCCGAGAGAAGCATCTCTGTGATGCCACCTCTAGCCAAATCGCATGCTCTTCCTTATTCGGATATCACGAGTTTGTTACGCCATTAGATCCCTGCAATATTAGTATATTAGATTCCACTAAATCAAGATGCCTTGAAGTTTTGGGTTTTCCTTGGCAGAGCCTGACTACTCGTTATAACCACCCCGGTTTCTCTCCTCTTCCACCCCTTCCTCCTCCACCCCCACCTCTCCTCCACAAAATGGCCACCTTGGCTACATCGTTGCCTGCCGTACCATGAAAATGAAAGTCACGGTAATAACCCCGCGACGATACGATTTCAACAGCTTCGAATGAGTTGTTCAAGAGAGTGAAAATGGTGGACTTCCGTGTGTTTTGGCATGGGGGAAGATGAGTGGTGGGGGGGGAATGAGTGGCGGGGAGTCGCATGCCCTCTGCGCTGGCCACCCACCATTCATTCCATCTCGCTCCATCCACTTCAAAACTTCCCCCCTCTCTCTCTCTCTTTGTTCCTCTATTTTCCTTTCCCTCTTGTCTCGAGGAATTCGCCTCGCATGAACGAATGATCTAATTCGATCCCCGATTTCATCGGAGCATCTTGGGATGCGATGAAAGGGCACGGTCAGAAGATTCTGAAAGGTGTCATCTTGGGGCATCGTTTAGTAAATAGAGACATTTAGCACGGTTTCACGAAGTCAAAATACAGATACCCAGGGTGTTCGAAAAGTCACTGTGCAGTAGAATTCATTAATTTTTTTGCATGTATTTAGTATTGTACTGCGTATCACATGTATTGCATCATCAAAGACATGACTTTATACTCAATACTTCATCAAATATTAGCACCATCCCTGATTCACATAATTTATTGTCTGTGATTCCTAGCTACAGTGAGGTCTCCTACGTCATGTCGTGAATTCTACTGCAGTGAATTTTCGAACACCCTGTAAAAGGCTAAGACGGGATCACGCGTTGGGACGATTTCCTTAAATTCACCAGAGGCCTTCCTACCCATGTCATCGATCTTTCTCGGACAAAAACTCCCTCGCCGATGTTTACTGTTTACCAGTGACTCGCGAGACGTCCACGAAAACAAATATGATGCTTTTTAATCCTCGCTTTGAGATGGAGTGGACACGGCTACGCAGGCCCGAACGCACGACGTACAAAATTGGCAGATGAACGCGCTCGTCTGTTGCGAAAACGAAAATCCTTTGTAACTGGCTGGCGCCAGGTTAATCCCGAGCACGGGGATGGGTCGAATTAACCGATTTTTCGCCTCACGTCTTCCCACGTTTCGACTACGTATCAGAGGTGTGGCTTCATCAAAGTGTGCTAGATGTCGCTCATCATTCCATGAAATCCCAACATGGTTTCAATTGTAACACCCTGGTTACGAGAGAGGGAACGAGGGTCATATGCAAGGGGAGAAGGAAGGAAGAACGAAGAAAGGTGGAAGTGCAGTGCCACGGAGGAGACCAGTTCCGGATGCAGGGAAATCATGACGCGATCCCACCGGAATGACAACCTTTTCGTAACCGACCGGTAATCGGAAGACGTTGCACTCGTGCCACGTCGTTTTGACGACGATCGAGCGTTCGAGCATTCTTCCTGCCGCGTGTGCCCGGATCGGATGCCATACGTGTGAAATAAAGGTCACACCGCCTAGATACGGTTCCGGTACGGGGCGACGCAAGGTGCGGCAGATGGGACGGACGACCTCGTGGTCCTCTCGTGCGAACGCGAGCGTTTCCTTCCCGCCCGATCGGACGAGACCGCAATCGTGCCGTAGATGGACGATTCGAATCCCCTCTGCTCTTCGATGGCGAAGTCCGAACCGACGAGATCCCTTCGAGGGAGGAGGCATCGTCTCGGATCTCTTCTCGTCCGGATTCTTTTTTGGGAGCTTCTCGCGAAGTCGAGGACTTCTCTCTTTCCTCTGCAGTTTCTTCCCCTCATCGACCTCATCGTGACGATCGGGAGAACGTGCTCCTCGGGGATCTCTGCCCGTCACCGTATGCGGAAAATTTAGCCAATCACGGTACGATCTCGTCCGACTTCGATCTCCCGGTCGATGTTCGGCAGATGAACGAGTCCATAAAAGGAAACGGAAGCTGACGTTCGGTTGGGATTGGAATCATTTGGGGGGGGGGGGGGGGGGGGGGGGGGGCGGGGGGG